CTTTGACGGGGCTGAGGTGTACAATAAGGCTGCCAATATTTCTGTCGGTAATTGCATGTTTGCGTAAGAACTAGGTGTGAAAATTGGCACTCGGGACCGTGTTTGGCGCGAACTCAGCCGATTGGCCGACAGTGATTAAAGGTTGACCAATCATGATAACGATCATCAGCCACGCGGGACCCACCTTTGTGCGCCGCGAAGGAGGCGAGGCAGGGAAAGGAGCGGGGCTCGTTCGCGCCGATGAACACGAGGAATAAAAGATACGTACAGCGCCGATAAACATGAGAAATGAGAGGAACAAGATGAAGGAAGAAGGGAAAAAGAAGCGAGAAAATAAGGAAACGTCACAGCGAACGAAGCGGGTCGGAACGGCCGAAAGCCTCTGGTCCCGAGCGGTTGGGAGGCGAGAGAAAAAGCGGCGCGGCCGAGCGGCAGAAAGAGCGGCGACGAATCAGAAATATGATGAATCATGTGCTATCCGACCGAGACTGGGACTCGCCTCCGCACGCCTCGAGTCCCGGATTGAGCGTAAATTACGATAAACATAACCATTACCTTATCGGTCTTGATTCTCATCTGGACTTTCATCTTACATTATGTATCACTCTTGGCACCTTTCTGAGTACCGTCTGTTATTATCTGCGGCTAATATGGCGCGATCTATTATGGAGAAGTACCGCCTCGAGCGCCTCATGCAACAGCGGGCGGGGGAGCGCGTGAGAGAATGCGCGCTCGCCGAGATGATATCGAGGCTCCGGCGCGATAAGGACAGGTTGTGGGCCCCGTGATGACCCAGGAACACAGCGCAGGTGAGAACTAATAGCCAGGTGAGTCGCACATATACAACCGATAGCGAGGCGAGAAGTAATACGCGGTGGATTCGTAAGTATAGCTTGGACAGCGAGGCGAGAAAATCACACGGGTCGCGTCGTAACTCTGCTTGAGATAGTGGCCGGGAAGCTGCGCCGCCGACGCTCTCCGGAGAGGCTCGCAGATAGTGAGAGAGTATGGAGGATGCTCGTAAGTATAGTTCCAATATCAAGGCAAGAGGTAATATGCAGTATTTTTCGCAAAGATGGCACAGATAACGGGCCCGGGCGAATATGCAGGCGCAACGAACGCACGGTGAAGATAACTGCGAAAAATATGCGGTGTGCTTACACGAGGAGTCAGATAACCGTGAAAAGTAGCAGGTGGTGTCCTCGGGAGGTGATAACAGATAACAAACCTGTGTACTGCTCTGTGGTTTTGGTTTGGAAGGCTAAGCAGGTAAGGAATACGTCATCAATTCAAGTGGCGGACAAGTGGCAGGTAGAAGAGGAAGAGGGGGGGTAGGGGAGGAAGGGTTTATGAGGGAGTGGTAGGGGAGGAGTTATGGGGTATAGAGTCGTAGGAGGAGGTAGGAAGGAGGAAGGAGGGAGGGATTGGGGGTAGAGTGGGAGGGGAGGGAGTTATGGGGGTATAAGTCGCAGGATGGTAGGAAGGAGGAGGGGTAAGGATGGAGTTGAGGAGGAGTGGTAGGACAGTGTTCGGTAAGGGTAGGGGCAGTGGGGTTTGGTAGGGGTAGGAGACGGGTTGTAGGGGAGAAGCAGTAGATAACAGAATAGGAGTACGTAAGGGGATAGGGGAGGGTAAGGTAGGTGGGGGGGGTGTAGGAGGAGAATAAAGGGTTACAGGGAAGGGGGAGGGGAAGGGATGCTAGATAAAAGGAGAAGGCTATGTTGTAAATATGTCTCAAGAGCGCACATGAGAGTAGCTGCTACGCGTCACCTTGCATCATTGTTGCAAAGTTGCGGCTCCGGGCCTCGACGTGCGCGCGGTTGCTGAGTTTCCTGATCAGAATATGCAACGATCGAGGCTGCGAATGCGTTGTATAATATTACCAAGCATATTAGACTGTCATGATTTCGTTTAGCTCGTTCATTAAAGGTACTGCCATGTGCCACTCTGTAGGTAACGCTTGATATTCAGCCTAAAATGTGCAACTTTCTCTTTCTCTTCCTCTTTCACATAAAAACACATAAGCAATATATATATATATATATATATATATATATATATATATATATATAATATATATATATATAATATATATATATATATATATATATATATATATATATATATATATAATATATATATATATATATATATATATATATATATATATATATATATATATATATATATATATATATATATAGTATATATATATATATATATATATATATATATATATATATATATATATATATATATATATATATATATATATGTATATATGTATATATATATATATATATATATATTATATAATATATATAATATATATGTATATATATATATATATATATATATATATATATATATATATATATATATATATATATATATATATATATATATATATATATACATATATATATATGTATATATATATATATATATATATATATATATATATATATATATATATATATATATGTATATATATATATATACATTATATATATATATATATATATATATATATAATATATATATATATATAATATATATAATATAATATAATATATATACATATATATATATTATATATATATATATATATATATATATATATATATGATAATATATTATGTACATGTATATATAATGTATACTATTATATATATAATATATATATATATATATATATTATATATATATATGTCGCGCAGGGTGTGTGTGTGGTGTACTTACCACCAGCATACACACACTTACACATACACACATATATAGTGTTTGTGTGTTTGTGCTGTTGTTGTAATATATGTTATA